AGATCGTAACTTGCTGACCCAACAACGAGTTTCTTCCCAATAACATAGAAAATGTTTCCTTCATTTTTTTGGAGAAGGTCACTTGCGTATGTTGCCAAATGATACAGCCCCCTCGTATTTTCCCATCGTTTTCCATTTTCACCTAACACAATTGCTCAATTTGTGTCAAGTTTTCCAATTTTTGGCAGCGGTTAAAGTGAGGTTGCCACCCGACTTCAAGAGAGATCAAATTCCCGGGGTGCTGTAGGAACGAAACTGTCGCGTCGCAGCGAGAGAGACGTCGTGCGCGAAGGAATGTAGCAGAATGCAACAACAAGTAAGAAATACAGGAACAAAAGAACCAACAGTAGAATCATGCCAAAAGAAAAGTTTCCTTGAGCTGTATGAGGAACGCTGGAACTGTTACAATGAGGGCAAATGATCCGCGACAGCCGCTTGCGTTGGATCGATTACACAGAACCGTTCCTACTGCCCGTCTCCCGAATTCCCGCTAAAGAGGATTAGGGATTGTCAAATCGCAAAATTGCTCGAGAATTGGGCCGATGCCATTCATTTGTCGACATTTCCGCCAAGAATCCTACAGAGCATGGGACCAAAACGAGAACAGGACGTTCTCCGTTACTCTCGGATGTATACAAGCGGGATTCCAAGAAAAGCGTCGAATTCGACTGTCATGTGCGGAGAACAAGTCCTCTTCGAAGCTCACCGAGGACTACTATTTGGAAAGTGGTAGAAAGTCCGAATTCATCGTTGACGGATTTGAGGGAGACACTCGCTATGATCGAAAAGCATCGCGATAACTGGGTCGCTTTTGCTAGGAATTGCATCGGAATCGACTGGAGTAAGGTGACACCTCATAGCTTGTCGTTGACTCATACTTCTCTTGTGACTCGTTCTCCAGGTTATTCTTGAAATGAAATTTTTTAACTGTGATATCCAAGATGGAAACCGGTTCAACTGGCACGATTCGGGAAGGGATAAGCTTCAGTCTTTCCAGACAAAATTACAAGCGAGTGGGAGTCCTGGCATGGGCGGCAACTTCTCCTGATAATGTCTTCATTTACGTTTGCTTTGAAGAAACTCAGCTCTCCCGATTATCGAGTGTGATGCTTCTCTTGCTCCTCTTTCATTTTGGTGTCAGAATCGTATTTTTTAGGTAATTTGAGGGATTGGGGACTCAACTGATTACTAATCACGCAACGTTCTCTCCTCGTCATCATTTAGCGTCTGAATAAGTTGACTTGGTCAGTGGTTGTATCATTTGGCCATATAGGCACCTTTTCCGAAAAAAAAAACTGAAGGATATGTTATCCATGTTGTTGAGATGGAACTCGTTGTTGGTCTACACGGTCTCCGAGTAGGGCATATGCACTCTCAAGGACAGGTTCTTCACGTGTGCTGGATTAATTCGATATCAGTACATTCCTGATTCTCAATAGTATCAATTGGGTGGCGAAGATCATAGCATGCCAACTGCGGCATGTGGCAGTACAGCGGAGTAAATGGATGACTGTGCTGAAAACGTAAAAGAACGAACTAGATCACCAAATCACTCTGCATGTCAGAAGGGGTAGCAGAAAGAAGTTGTGGGAGCAGCATCCCGGCGTTCAACGCCATCAAAATGGCAGCAAAAACTAGAAAACGTCGGAATCAAGGTGCGTTCTAAAGGACGATTTGCGATGCCTCATAAGCTGTGGAAGATATACCGTCCTACGCGTAAATCACAACATTACTTGAAGAAAAGATGCCGCGTGTTCGTTTCCCACCTGCCAGAGAGCGGGGAGTAAGGATAAAGTGAATTCGTACCACAATATACCGGTTCAACACTTGGAGGCCGCTGGATTCAGAAGTGGTTACAGATTGTCGGCAGGTCTATGGATTCGGACATTCGCGATCAACGTTCATCTCCTGAACATCGATTCCGACCAAACTTGGTTTCATTTGTTCCTGTGGTTCAGCTAAAACGCACTTATGTGAGCAAAACAAAGTTCTTATAGTTCGTAAAATTCGCCATCACATAACCAGATTATTAAAGCCTTCTCGCAATCATCCGTTCGAATCATAGAACCTGCTGGGGACTCTGTAAAAACTACACGATATTGGTCCTTTTACTACATTCGTGAAGCCGTTGTGCAATCAGGAAGGATATTTTTAACTGGTAATGAAGCGGCATGGGCCAGTATGAAAGAGATCCCAGTGGTTTTCGAAAGTCAAGCTGATCAGAGAGTTGGTAGGTAGGCAATCCTCCTTTTCATACTGCCGAATTTCTTCCTATCGTGTGAGGATACATGAAAAGTAAGTTACTCGACAACGAACCGAGAACTATCGGACAGTCTAAGAAAAACATCTAACGTGTGAATTCTGCCATCGACGTGGCTCCGGTGGACATTCACGATCACGGAGGACAATTTGAATTGTGTGTTCTGTGACGTCAATGAACGACATATTCATTACTTCTTGTAACTGAATTTGTTTCACAATATCTATACAGCTTACGGACAGAGGTGGCGTAGTGACAAGTGGCGCACTTCACATCAATATCTGCCGAAGCCAACCAAGCCTTCCACCCCTCTGGGATCGGTTAATTGGTACCAGAATCGTCTGGGAGGATAAAAGCGCTTACTTGTACATCGGTTGGCCAACGCAAGTCATTGTATATGCCACATACGCATTCAGTACGCCACTACGGTATCGAATGGAAGTCGAATGCGTGTTCGCATCCCTCAGACGGGATTGATTGACGCTCCAAGACTTTATCCTTATCCTTCTATCTATACAGCTTGTGCTTATGTTGTGCGTTACCAAGTTATTCAAAGTTTCAAAGTGACAGTTTGTAGTGAAAAAGCGTCTCGAAGAGCTCACGCAAAAGAACTTCAAGAGCCGCGAACCAACTCACGCATTATCCCTGTACTTCTTATCAACCCATGCATTTCCCGAATACGAAGCGTCACAGTGGATCCACATCCCATATCTACATGAGTTCATATTAAAAAAGTAATGGATCGACATGTACTATGGCCCAACTTTTTAGCAATCGGCCAAATGGTTTCCAATTGATCATCAGCTGCAATTGAAGATGTTCCAAGTGTGCAATGAATGTGTGTTGGGATCAATCCATTCTCGACGTCCTGCAAAGAAAAACATCCATAATGGAGTACCGTCGATAGCGCTATTGAACCCACTTTCATGATGTGCTTCTCGAGTTGTGCACCGGTAATGCCCCAACTGTTTTCTTGGAGAGGCTGAATTGGTCTGCATCGAACCATGGCTACTTTGCATGCTTTCTCAATACAAGAGTGTGCCTGTAGAAGTTAGATGATAGCATCGCATAGACTTTGAAGATCTCTTCCAACGCGTTATCCGTGAACTGAGCGGAAATCCCTACGTCAATAGCAGTTGTAAACTGTCATTGTGACACCACTTACGTCCTTACTGCAATAAGCTACTAGTTTTTTGCCAATGTCGTGTATAGTCTCATACTTTGATACGCGTTCCTTCTTCTGTTGTTCCTTCACCTAAACTGCTGAGGTAGACATATGCAATGATTAGATGTTGGACCTAATTGTACCTACAGGCAGTTGCCAACACCCGTTTTCTTTGCATCTCGCTATGCGACAGATATCATTGGAAATCGAGTTAGGGAAAAGGTATAGATGTCGTTGGCAGAATGATCGAGCAAAATTACACTCAATTTGAGGAAACGCGAATAATTGGACGCGGGTCGTCGATATCTTACTAATATTAAACATAATCTGTATCAGATTTTCCCCCATTAAACGGCACAAACATCGGAAATGGAGCGAAATGAGCCATCATGCAACCATTGAACATTCTTTTTGTGGGACACTCTTATCCACTTTTTTTTGCTGGAGGATCTCTAGCCGAGTGCAGACAAGGGCCCGTATGCATAACGCCCGGGGTAGGGGAGGGAGAGGAAGTGTTTGTTTTCGCCGTGGGTCAGATGAGTGACGCTGGAGCGCAGTATTCTACGCCTCTAAGACAGTGTTAAATTGATATCCGAAGCTCTATTTCTCGATTAGATGAACCGGAATTTGGAGAGTGTGTGGATTTTTGCCAAGGAAAAGCACTCTACCAAAGTGGAGGGGGGTTTTACTCTGAAAACGCTCAAGGAAGTAGCAAAAGGTTAGTATGTTCTACGAAATGCATTTTTAGGGTTGTGGAAACTTAGGAACGCGCATCCAGTTATCGTGCACCTATTGCAAAGAGACCTTAATTAAATGCGAATATTCGATTGTTATAGTACTGCTCCTATACCTCTATTAATTGTGTAAAAAATAATTAACTGTAGAGAACAGTAACAAAGTGAAGCATCTAGAGAAAATGTCACAAAACAATCAAATTTGTATACCAGATGTCAGATGAATAGATGGATTGTGTTAAGAAGTTCGTAGAAAGTCTTCAAATATCGTTGGGCGGGAGAGTTGGGCTAGTTCCCGTTTTTATAGAGCTTTTCTTAAAGACCAACTTCAGCACTATGAGGAGAGGTCATTAGAACCAAACAAGCACCAATCACTTCCATAGTAATTAATGGATACGTACCAGTTCCTTCACTTTCCAACCTTTACACTTCTCCGAAATACTTTCCGGCTCAGGAACTTCATACCGCGAGATCCTGCACATACGCAATCTTCCTCAACGCACCTACTCCACGTAATCCTCCTCAACGCATCTACTTCCAGCACTGCAATCCTAATTCTATTATGCTTCATATCTCCCAATACTTATTCCTCGTCGCTTTCACTGATATACATCTAGTCGATAGACCACTCACCAAGTCGGCCGCATCGAAACATCTCAGTCCGTTGCAGCGTCTATTTCAACCTTTACAGGTGCTATACACATAACTCTTGCTCGAAAACATGCTTTTTTTGCTATAAGCGCCGGGCTTTCTTACTGCTGCTATCATCGTACATCATCAACACTTCATCTTTCACTCGCTCGTGAAAGATGTGGACAGCATAATAGGCGTCAAGTTTTCGCACTAGGCGAGAAATGGCCATTCCGTGCAAAGGTTCGTACACCCTTTTCCTAGGCAGGGTTTGCTAGAAAATTAAGAGCAAAGCGAGTANGCTCACGATAACTGGTGTAAGTCTAGAAAGAAAAACCTGTATATTTGAAAACTAAACTGCTCTACAGCAACGACGTCAGCAATTTAAATAAATTGGTAGTTGGTTGCAGCAGTAGAATAAAATCAGAGCAATACTTGACGAATTCGGCAGCAGAAGTCAGAGGAATAAGCGCTCAGTCGAATAATGTAGTGAATAGCAGAGTTGCGGTCTACATGACCATCGGAGCCCCAGCTCTATTCTAGGGGTAGATTCATCCCCCGGGGAGCCAATGGGGTCGGGCTTCTCTGAGCTCTCGCTAAGGTAAGGTCGCAGAGACAAACATCACATGATTACCAAGGGCTGTCGATTCTTCACCTGTTTATAGGAAAATACTTAGCTCCATTGCAACTATCTTGACACAGAACAAAGGCAAAAACCCCATTTGAACACTCGCGCCCTCGGCAAACATTTCCCCTCCCTCCCCTACCCCGGGCGTTATGCATACGAGCCAAGATCACATGAGGCGCCCTATGGCTGCTCTCAGACCACAACGACTGGCTGCTATCGTAGTCCACGACCACGGCGGCGCCTGACCGTTGTTGACAATACTAGATCACGTGCCAGCGCTGTCAACATTACTCTAGGGACCGCCATCGCAGCACGCACACTTCGGACGGACGGACGGTCGTCGAAGTCTGAAAGCGGATCCGGCGTGTGAGGAGAAAAATCGCTGATCAAAAGACACGGGCTCTTGCCTAGAGATGGAAGTGATTTCAGGATTCATAATTTCTGTCTCCTCAGCTGAAGTTGAACATTTTGTTTAACCGTTATCGCTTTCTGATGGTTCCCGAAGTTTTCAGAATATCAAATCATCACTCCCTTCGATTCTTTTTTTCAGTGCGTGGGAAAAAAGCCTTGAAATTTCGAAAACTATTGGAGTCACTTCTTCCCTTTTTGAGTTTTAAAGAAGATCCTATTAACAGGGACGTGGACCAATGAAGAGTACAAGGCTTATTGAACATCCTCACTGTAGCACTAGCGAGGCAGAGAGTCTACAAATTTCCGTTTTCCTTTTAAGACTGCAGCTGATAAGCCACTGTAGGGTCGCATAGCCTTCAAGCCCGTTGTGCCGTCTACCCCGAACTTACAACTTACAGAGACGCGATAAGGAAAGATTTTGAAAATGAATGGCAGCCGTGCGAGTGAGCACGGTCTTGGAGGGAATACAGCACGATCGATGTTATCAACAATGCAGCAAGACTAAATGAAGGATAACAAAAGTACGAGATGTCTCTGCATCTTACGTTCATCGATTCGAAGGGCTCCGTGATCATGTCGAAATAGAAGTGATAAACAGAGTCAAGGGTTACCAGGGTGTTTCTTACAATATAAGCGTCTTCAAAGATAAGTTGAATTTCAGGATGTCGTTAGCATGACGAAAAGTCATTGTCAATGTGAAAGAAACTTTTGGGAGTTCGATACCATTCACCCTAGGTTCTCGGAGTCGCTCTCGAGCACATCATGTATCACTCAGGAAGACGTGGGTGTGGAGGTCGACGACAGCTTATCACATCAAATCCTCGCTTTGCATACGGCATGCGCGCGACATTTGTCAAATTTAGGCGACAACTGTCTGGCTTAAGATCAGGCAATTCGTTTCGGACCATTAGCAGCTACCTCTCAACGCCGATCAATGCAACCTTCCCTCTTGTTTTTCTACTCACTACGCTGTACTATTCTATTATTCTAATCTGATGACT